GCCACCGACATGCGATTGCGCCTTGTTTCTCGTGCCTGGCATGCGGTAGTGGTGGGCCATGCCCAGGCCATGTCCTATTTGACTAGGCGTCGTCTCATCGAGCAGGGTGCATCCCATCGGTCAGGACGCGTCCCATCGAATTCCCATATGCATTGAATAGGGGAAGGGAGAGGGTTTTTGCCCCAATCCTTCGCCTTTCTCCAAATGTTGCGTCTCCTCCTTAAATAGGGGAAGGGAGAGGGCTCTCATCCCATTCCTCTGTCTATTCTTGAGCTACTGCCTCTCCTCCTTCTTCCTTCTCGCCGAGTGTGTTCGTGCGTCGCGGCGGTTCCTAAGTGACAGAGGGTAAAGCGAGGGAGAGGAGAACTCATAGATCCGTTCGTGAATCCAGAGCGTGATGTCGAGCTGGAGGTCATCCAACATAGATGAGATGGTGCTGGCCGCCTTCGTCGAGAAGGGGCCGCTTCCACCGAAGGAGGAGGGGCACTAGAGGGTGCTGCACGTTGCCGGCTTTGTCACCGTCTGTGAGGCCTTCGTCGGGATAGAGTCGCATGTCCATCCCGAGCAGAGGCCCACGAGCTAGGAGCAGGGAGGGAGGAAGGCCCCACCGGATCTGGCGCGTGTGGAGGAGCTCGTTGCGGATCTGGCTGTGGAGGAGCTCGTCGTGGGTTCGCGCGACTAAGGAGCCCGCCAGTCCGATGCTGCTCGCCGTCATCGTAGGAGCTCGTCGAGGTCGTGTTCGCGCGACCCTGCGACTAGGAGGTAGAGGTCCGGGCGTGGGGAAGTGCGGCGGACTGCCTGCTCGGCTTGCCACGGCGGCGGTGGAGGGGGGTCCTGCTCGGCGGTGGACAGCCTAGGCGGGTCAGCGAGCAGCCACGCGCGTGGAAATGGCAGAAGCTTCTCTCCGGGCGGAGCTCACGCACGACGGTGTTGGGCAAAAGCTGGGGAGGAGATGGTGGTGGCTCTGGCTCTGGCTCCCTCTGTTCGCCCCCCCCTCGTGATCTCGTTGGGGCCGCCATTGCAGCCGGGCCGGCCGCCGCCGGACCCACGTCGACTTGACCATGCGACGTCGCCTCGCCCTCATTGCAGCCACAAACCGTCGAGCCATGCCTCCTCTCGCCCAATTCTGCGAGCCGAACGCCACCAAGATCGCCGCCACAGACTGCTTTGCTCACGTCGCCCACCAAGCCTCCTCATCCTTGCTCTCCTCGCTCACAGACTCTGCTCTCCCGCTCTCTCCATCCCGCATGCTCACTCGGCCAAGACCGCGTCAGGCCACGGCTCCCCATGCCAAAGTCGAACACAATGAGCTGAACTCCTCACCGCCTGTCGAAGAAGCTGCCGAGCCGCCTTCTGCCCCCCGCCGCCACCGCCCTACTCTGCTTTCGCTTATTTGCATCAAGACGGAAAGGGAATGGGTGGGCTGTGGTGGCGGCACGCGCCGCACGACATCCAAAGCCGAAAGCACCCGTCCACGCCACCCAGGCCAATGAGCCGGTGACACTTCATCTCGCGGGACCCACACGGAAGTGCCTCCACCTCTTCCATCTGTGGACGCAGTTCGCATGAACCAAGAGTGGGAGCGCGTAGTCCATAGCATAGTGCAATAGCTGGTTCACGGAATAGTGCAGCATGCCAGACCCAAACATGGCTCAGGGGCACCGAATGTCCAAACTGATTTTTTCTCTCTCCTCAACCGGTGGAAACCGGCCCGCGGTGTCCTCTGGCGTAATTACAAGAAACCAGAGTGTCTTCTAGCATACAGCTCCACTTTGGGTGTTCGCCAGCAAACGACCACCACTGTGGGTGTCCGCCAACCAATTTCCCCTTATACATATGTTGAAAGTGTTTTATCTAGATGTTACAAAAGTAGATCTGGATGTTGCATATGTTTACAATGGCTTTCAAGTGTTTTATGATGTTTTTGTAAGTTTTTTCTCATGTGTGTTACAAGTGTTTCAGCTGTTTCAGACATATGTTACAAGTATTTAATCTGAATGTTGCAAAAGTAAATCTAGTGTTACACATGTTTCAATGAGACCCACCTGTCGTAGTGCAGCTGCTAGGGCGACGTCGAGCGGGCACAAACGTCCAAGCGGAAGCAGAGGGGGCGCGAGCATTCCCCATGTGGGGTCGGGCAACGTGTGGGAACACGAAAGGAAGTGCAGGCGTCACTATTACGACCAAGGCGAGTTCAGAAACTATCTTCCTAGCTAGCTATACGCATGGCCGTACTTCGTATCAGGGCATGCAAACTCCATTCTTCTATATTTGTATATTGGTTATATATGAGGACCAGACCATACTAATGAGAAAAGAGCCTATAAGAGGAATAACCACCCCCCCCTACCCCTACTCCCCAAGATGTTCAACAAAGTAGATTTGATTAAAGGTGCGCCAACTCCAATCTTTTTTCTATTACAGTAAGTCTTTTTTCTATTACAGCAAGGATAAGCAAATGGACGAGGATTGTTCATTCTTTCCAAAACAATAGAGAATGCATTTATACATTATTATCATCATTGGAATTAAACTACAAACCCAAACATCAGATCAAAGCCAATAGGTAACACCATACAAAGATGCATTTATACATTAATTGGCATGGAATTAAATTACTGTAGAAATATGAGTACCATTATACTAGTACATCTTTAGAACGCCAGACCGGTCTACTTTTTCTAACAGAAACAGCAAGGTGCTTGAGCGAACGACCAGCCCTTAGTCCAGGTCTCGGGTTGATGACCTCCGAACCCAAAAACACAGAGCAGCGAGCATGCATGAAACTGATGCATCATGTACGCAAGTTAATCGCAGTCCACCGATCATATTCTAAGATGGTTTGCACAGTCGAACAACCTGTATAAAGTCTTGATGTGTTAGCAGCTCGGTAATAAGATAATAATACAATATAGAGAAAAAGTTGATAAGAATTATTGACCTCCATGCACAAACCAGTTTAACCAAAAGCAGCTAAGTTGTTGGGCTTGGGTTTGTTTTCATATGTCTAATGCATAACTAGGCTCATATTTTAAAGAAAGAAAAGCATAACTAAATTCAAGGTTCACAATGAAATGGATGGGGTGTTTGGATCCAGTGACTAAAGTTTAAGAGATGTCACGTGGGGGTGTCGCATAGGGTGTTCGGATACTAATAAAAAAACAAATTACAGAATCCGTCAGTAATCTACGAGACAAATTTATTAAGCCTAATTAAGCCATCATTAGTGCATGTTTACTGTAGCACCACACTATCAAATCATGGACTAATTAGGTTTAAAAAAATCGTCTCGCAAAACAGTCTCAATCTGTGCATTTAGTTTCGTAATTAGTCTACATTTAATACTCCATGTATATATCCAAACATGCTAACCAACAAAACAGGGACAGAGAGAAAGCACCTGTCATATGTTGTAGTAGCACATTACTTGCGCCTGAAGAAAATAGGAATCCTTATATTTTCTGCCACTCCCGATGTGGACACCATTTTTAATCCAATCTTCTCTATGAATCCACGCATCCCTACCAATATCAAGGACACCCAAAATCTGCACTGGAAAAGTAAGGATCCAGGAATATGGAACATAGAGGATAAATAAAAGGGGAAACAAAGGACAAGATGCATCACACTCATTTTCATCCTACTGTTACTGTTCTTTACCCGGTTCCTAAAAGCAGACAGGCCCTCCTTTTATTTTTTAGTGAAAGCTTTGGTGCCCACAGCAAAGTTGTTGTTGTTGTTGTTTGGTGCCCACAGCAAAGTTGATATAAAACTGTGGCTCCTTAATACATGGATCATCTTATCTTTAAAGCAGACAGGCCCTCCTTTTCTTTTTTAGTGAAAGCTTTGGTGCCCACAGCAAAGTTGTTGTTGTTGTTGTTGTTTGGTGCCCACAGCAAAGTTGATATAAAACTGTGGCTCCTTAATACATGGATCATCTTATCTTTAGTTCATGCTTAGTACTAGCTGGTTCCATTTTCTATCTAATTAATTGTACTGTTTTAGAAGTTTGTACAAGTCCCATCAGTTCCACTTTTACAAACACTGGGTAGATGTGGAGTACGTACAGTACAACCACAATGAGATCAATCAAAATCTAATCTTTGTAATCTCTGTAATCAAGACCTAGTGGACTAATCAACTGAATGACTTTTAGCAATGGATTTCCTCTCAGGCTCATAAAGGCTAGGTCATCAGACAGACCCAGCCCAGATATCAATCGTCAGTCCAATTTGGTAATATTGTCTAAAAATAAGGCACTGCAATAAAATAAGAGAATCCTTGCTTGCCACATGATATGGCACTTAAACTCAAATTGCCAAGCTTCTTTTGTGTATCTACTAAGGTGCCTTGCCAAGTCAGTTTCTGGGCTTTCGGTTTCATTGGTTCAGCTACCACTGTCCCCCATGCTTAAGATAGTCCAAACATGAATGCTCTTTCCTCAATGAAAGAAAAAACTACTCTGTCGGTCCAAAAATACAAGCCATGCCTATTTTTACAACTTTGCATGTCTAGCGCATATGTACAAAGCCAAAAAAGATTAATCTTATACTCTTGGACATGAGGGGAAAATGGTTACATATTTTCTAAAAAGGAAAAATCACTTCTAAAAAAAGTTGCATCGGTTTGTCTTATTAGCACATACTATGGTAAGATTGTTACTACTACTCCCTCCATTCCAAATTATAAGACGTTTTGGCTTTTCTAGATACATTGTTTTCACTATATATCTAGACATAGTGCATATCTAAGTACATAGCAAAAACTATATATCTAGAAAAACCAAAACGTCTTATAATTTTGAACGGAGGGAGTATATCCTAAGGAACGCCCGAGCCCCTCTCATATTAAACGTAGAAAAGAAAGTATTTTACAGAACTATTCACAGTGGAAAGAAGAAACTAGACCAGCCACAGGGCATTGACATTGTCGAAACTCTAGTCCTAACTTCTGAGCGATCAATAAACAAGAAAACACATTACCATTAGATATATAGTGTATCACACTAGGACATTAGCTCTGATGCCATATTGAGTTTGCTGCAACAAAAATTCACCCAAGCTATGTAGGAAAAATGGACAGCATACTTCAACTGAGAAGAGTTTAACTTACCACTCCACCTTTCCATGGAACAAATAATGGATAAGTCCTAGATTGCAACACCTGCCATTTTAAATGAAGAGTTAAAAAAGAAAGAAATAACAGACAATAATGTAGATTATGGACTCGCAAACATCAATCTCTAATAGAATTGACGTAAATCGAGGGACAAACCTATCACATTATGACATAACTACATAAATCGCTGAAGAAAGAGAGAAGAACCAATCCACGTCTTTAAGTTTATAGGGCACACCTCAACTTTCTCAATAGATTGGTTTGCTGAAATTTTAGTGCGAACCCTGAAAAGAAAAGTTTAGTAGATCAAAAAACTTTTGAAGGTAACTTTGACCATAAATTTTACAACTTGTAGACACATTGCATGATAGACTAGTGATCAAACATACGTTTTGAGTACTGTGTTGATGTCCAAAAAGTCAATTATCTGTGACTGAAGAGGAGTATAAAATATAAAAAATAAATAAAAGAAATGGCATTCACTATACTTGTGCACTATTTACATATAGTGGGATGTTTGTAGGCTTTTGCAAATTTATTTCAGTACTGTTCCATGAAGCAACGCGGACAAGGCGATTGACATCTAACAAACCTTTGCTCCAGCACTTGTGCAAGGCCAGTTGTAGAAGCTGCACCACCAACCTGAAAGGCACAGAACAGCTTAGCTCCTTTACCAAGTAACAGAGAAGTATTCGTTTATTGGAAAAAGTAATCATGATACTTTACCAGCTGAATGCTACAGAACAGCTTCCTTTGAAGGTCAACACGTCCTGCAATCAGTAGTTGCTGTTAGAGAAAAGTTTATATTTCAGGTAAGCGATATATTAATAAAAACACTACCTGTTGAAAGAACGCTACTAATAATGGCCTCTACGAGGCCAATGTTCTCAAATTTCTTTAATCTAGTGGGAAACATCGGATAACTGTCCCACATGCCAAACCCACCATTCCCACTAGGGTAAAGACCATCACTTGTTTGCCAGGTATCCTCCAGCATGTCATCATAGTCTTGGAACCTGGGAGCATGCACAACTTGTATAAAGCAATCGTATCATATTCGAAGCATAATCACCAAAACTGAAAAAAAAAACAAATTCTCACCAAGATCGAGGAGGTGGAGGGTACTCTTCTGGAACAAGAACCCTTGGGTAAAGAAGCCCCATAGGAGGAACCTATTTTTCCACAACTTAGAGTAAATTGCTGGAACATCAATTGCAACAATCCAATAGGAAGTTTAAACAGAGAGATCCATTTCCTATGTGCACACTTGCGCGTGAATGTGCATGAGAGAAACGGAGGAATAGGGATGGCAAAAGTTCCCTTAAAGGCAGGGATCTGCTCCGTTGCCCCACCCATCCCCACCCCCTGTGTGGGCTAACAGTGTGAGGCCCCAAATTCAGGTCGGGGCTGGGTCCAAGCTCCAAACTCACTCATCAAACTCCTGGCCCCTCTACATATATGCAGAACAGCCCTTTTTTTTATTAAATCTTATATAACCTACACCCTCCTGTAACCCTAGTCCTATCCCCAATCACACTGCAGCCAGAAGCAGCCGCTCACTCGCCTGCCAATGTTGCCACTGTTAAGGTATATTAGTCAGGGATATATATAGAGTACATGGAGACACAAGAGGGAAACCCTAGACTCGACATTCATTTTTGGATTTTGGATGTAATTCGCCTTTTTTTTTCAAGTCTAATGTGTAGTGCCAAATCTCCAAATGCAACGACATTGCATTCACGTTGCATTTGAGAGGGGGTGCTAAGGTATAAGAGTCAAGGGTATTAGTGTAATCTCTCTAGTCTAGGTGAGGCATGAACACAATGCTCGTTTCTGTATAGAGGGAGCTTATTTATATATATGGCAGGCATGAACACAATGCTCGTTTCTGTAAGACAAACCATTTGCTGTCTGAAAAGACACCAGCAGCAAGGAAATAAAGGGAAAGTCGAAAGACCAAAAGAGAATGTATGCGTTCAAGGAATTACATTAAGAGCTGATAGTCTTGTCTTCTGATGTCCACCAGATCTTTCATTATCATATGAATGAACAAGCGCAACTGCATCAATGCTCCCAGTCTGAAAGAAGGGAAAAAATTATGTACTAGAATAAGGGAATTATTCCACCTCAATTGTTTGTGAAAGCAATAGGAATGACCACAAAAGGTTTTAAGGCAAAAAATACAACTTTTTCTTATTTTATTGATCACTTTCACATAGAGCATGGTAGTAAGTAGTATAGACTCTGATGTAGAGAAGAAAATAGATCCAGATTTAAAAGGGTAGTACATTTCTTCAGCAAAACATTACCCAATGCTACTGGATTTCTTTCTCTGCTGTGCTTACTCCGTTCCAAATTGTAAATCATTTTAGCTTCACCCGAAGCTAAGGCCCCATTTGGATTGTAGAAATTCAAAGGAAAGATACAGGAATCGAAGAATGGAGGAAAGGAAGCAGCGTTCGGAACAAAGTAAATGCCAATTCCTTTCTTCCAGAATCCTGCAGCCAGATTCTCGTTTTAAAAAGGGCGTACCCAGTGCAGAGAGCTCCCGCTCTATGCGGGGTCTGGGGAAGGGTGTCAGTGGCAAGCCTTACCCTCGCCTGTGCAATGCGAGGAGACCGCGAATCGAACCCGGGACCTTCCGGTCACAGGCGGTAAGACTCTACCGCTTGCACCAGGCCCGCCCTACTGCCAGATTCTCGTTTTACAGGGAAAAAATAATCCACTTTGACCTCTGGTTTTCTTTTCCTTCGCTCTTGCCTCAGGCAACTCGTACGAGAAGAGAGAAACAAACAGCTAACCACACCAAGAACCTGGCCAGCCAGCTCCATCACTGCTCACATGGAAATACCAGCCAACTCGCATGAGAAGATATTCTGATAGTCCACTTATTTGATATTGTAGGTGTTAATATATTTTCCATAAACTTGGTCATAGTTACACAAGTTTGACTTAGGGCAGAACTAAAATGATTGATTTACAATTTGGAACGGAGGGAATAATACATTAAAAAAGCATGATGCACTAAAAAATTAGCAAGCTATATCAAATAATCATCAGCCCAAGGCATGTTTGGAAGATGGGGATTACTCGAGGAATTTTAGGAATTATTTTGCATTCATACTAAATCCTAGGGATTTGGATCCCGACCTACCTTTACAAAGTATGAGAAGGCCCTAAATGCCTCAACAAGGCCATTTACTAGGATTTCATTGCATATATCATCAGGCAATCCAATGTATTGATGAACTGGAGCAGTCAGTCAGATACAGCTCAAATACCATAAAAGGAAGGAAGGATGGAGATTTTACCTAGGAAAAAGAAAAGAAAAGTAGAATTTGTTGGATTTCGACATGCCAGATTTACTAGTCAGGATGCATAGTAGTACAATCATGAAACAGTGGATGCACATGGTCTTTTTCATTTGCGTGACTGGTTTCAGCTTTTCAGATGAGTTAATCAATTCAATCATAACATAATGGAATTGTCCAGAAGATTTACATGTTTATTCTCTTAACAAAATGTTCATTACTGTAATAAATGCAATCTTCTGTAGCACGTACAACACTCCAACTAGGAAAAATTCCTTAGCTGTCACCAGTTTAGGAATGAGCAAGCTTAGAACAAGCCACTTACTTTTATTTGGCTATATGACTCCTTTATTTTGTTGAGAATTAGCAGATCTATAGGCTTGCTCACTGGATCAGTTTGGAAGTTTGGCCACGTGCGATGGCGACGTTGAACCCAAAGCAAGCATCTGGAGATGTCCTACAAGCCAACAAAGGACACATTGTTGAGAAAGAAAGTGGACTGCACAGGTAGATGATGCTTTCAGCAGCCTAAAAGTAATCCATGCAGTTACTAAGGATAAAATTGTAGACAATTATTTACCAGGGAGATGAACATACTATTTTAAAAACTAATAGTAATGCCATCCAAGAACCAAATTTATCACTAGCTCAGGTGAAGACTATGAAACCATACAACTATACAACAAAAACCTTGAAATACAATATGCTTTAGTCAGAGTTAATGTATATTAAGTGCTATGATATTTTAACTTCCCAGACCCACTATGCTTTAGTCAGAGTTAATGTATATTAAGTGCTATGATATTATAACTTCCCTAGACCCGCTTTCAGCATTGGGTGCACCCCTTTTTAGTGCAATTATCTGTTCCACTAAAGTATCATGTGACTCTATATCGTATTCTCTACAGATTTCATCACTCATTGAAATGACTACGAATATTATAGGAAGCAAAAATAACAAAAGGTACAACAAGCACATGTGAAATGACTAGATAAACAGGACACTGACCAAACCACATTAAGTCAGAAGCAGAACAAACAAAGGGCACAAGTTTACTAGCAAGCCATCAAAACCGAAATGAGGAAAAGACAACATAATTCTCCATATAACTTGTTTGTAGTGTTCTAATGCCACTAAGGAGGTTCATCCTCCTCATACAAAGCTGAATATAATGATACCAATCAAATAAACTGGACCTATAGAATTCTATTACTCTGCTTTGTACAGTATGTAGACTAAGAACCAAAAATCTACATTGTGTGCCAAATAGTAAGTCGTATTGTTAGGACTTCTTTAAGAACCACAGCTACTCTTTTCTTTAATTTTTATACATAGTTTTGGCACTATAGTAACCGCAGAAGCAGATTTCTGCTGGAGGGAGATATAAGGCAGAAATTGCTGCATCTGTAGATAATATGTTATGAATTTTTCCTCGAACATGTAGGAGAGCTGCGCATCATTTCATCGAGGAAGAAAAGAGAGCACAAGGGGAATCCACAAACAAAGTCACACACACCACAAAAAGTTCATTCGACAAAACTGAAGATTAGATCTTTCACCCTTTGAGAATAACATGTTATGAATAGGATGATGAAATTAACAGATACATCAACACTACAATCACAAAAAAAAAAACCTAGACCAACCTAGGAGGAACTAGGTGGCATTTTATTAAGAAGAAAATAGGCACCCAGATTTGCCTCGACGAGGACTTGAACCTAGGTGGTCTGGGTATTCATCCACACCCTCAACCAACTCAGCTAGCTCAGCTTAGCTTCCTATCAACACTACAATCACATTATACCAAATAAAAAGATCTCCTTTGCGGACGCATAAAGTAGAAAGTGATTGTATGCACAGCAGTACATTAGAAATGACACCATATGGATAGAATGACCAAAGTAATGAAAATCTGTTGTGCAGGAGAACATACATCTCCACCATATGGAAGCGCCAAAGCTGTGTGGGGCAAAGCTACTCCATCCTGTAAAACATAGGGGGAAGATTGTATGTTGATATCTAATTAAAGTTTTCAAGAAAAGATTTCCTGGAACTAAAAATAAGACCTGCATTCCGTGCAATTAATGCAATAATTAAAGAATACAAGGGTATTACCTCAACACAAACTACTTGTGTAACTTGAGCGCCAATGTTGACAACACAAGCTGTAGATAGACCATTTCCAAACGCTGCAGCTAGAGCTTCCTAATAAAACATAGGATAGAATATGTTGAAAGCTATCTCCTCGAATACTACCAGAAAATATCTTCAGAGCTCAGCAAAAGCACCAAGCAGTCAATTTGTAGTTTCCTAATGCAAATAGTATAACCCAACACCATATGGACCATATTTACTTAAACCTAAGTCTCAGCTTGGAAAAACGATGTAACCCTCTCCAGCATATATTACTTAAAAATAACAAAATATTAGTTAAGTGCCACATTAACTGCACTATGCTGAATTTCTATTAAGAGCATAATCTATCAAGTGAATTAGTGGACACGATTTCAGTAGTTTCACAAAGAAACCAACAAGCTCAGAAATGATGAAATTATTATAGCACCATATACAGTAACAAAAGCTATCCCCATCTCGAATGAGAAGTCAAATTGACCAGGAGAAAAATGCTAAGAGATTGGAGACAAAGGCAAACCTGATGTACAACTGCTGTGCTGAACCCCAAATCATTGAGGACAATAGACAGCATCTCTTTTATTTCTGGCATACATCGAATAAATTAACTTTCTTCACTAGAAAACAGAATCAGCCTTATGAAACATAGCATACACTTTGCAGTATAAGACAGTGGAAAAAGTAATAAAAACAGAAAAGAAAAGCAAACATATGATAGAGACTGAACGGCTCTGAGCTGTGACTAATTATGAATTTAACAATTTAAATGTTCCTTAACTACATGGATGATGGACATTTAAATTTAAATCATTAGAAAAGGAGATCAGACAAATTGATGAGTGATGACAAACAACAATAGGATGAAGATTCACAAACTGGACAAAGGATAACATAGGATACACCATCACAACACAAATAAAAATGTACCACCTGACAAAAGATCATGTCCACAGATATCGCAAAACCAAAAAATCAAATCAGATGACAACCACATAGTATGTGAATATGTGCTTCAGGAAAGAATCTATTTGAGAACTACATGTTTATCCGAACTGTATTGCTAAGAAACTATGTTATGTGGTTAACACTTGACAATCATGTCGACTGGGAGAAAAGGTTGCTAGGATGTTGAACTGAAAGAAAACCAATACCACATTAGCTTAAGAAACATTCAAATACAAACAGAACACACCATGTAACACAAACCAAATCAGACGATAAAAAGATCAATGAGTCCATCCTAGTCACATAAACAATGGTGGTGTCTGCATTTTTCTTCATCTGTTGTTAACTCTCTTAAATTAACATGTAATAGATGTCTAGTAAAGCAATTCACTAAGTAATAGCATCACACAGGACAGTATTCTATGGAATGGCAAGTGATATCAGGTCACACACGAACCAAAGAAAGTGATCTATTATGAGAAGAAGAAAGTGGATAAACCTTTTGTATATTTTGCATACCAAGACATATATATGTACTTCATAAATGGGTGAGCCCACCTTGCACCCTAAAATTCTATTGTTTGAAGGGAGAAATACCTCGGTTGTCAAATGTCTCCCCAAGAACAAGAATTGCAGAATATAGACCTCTGTCTCTTGGGTTGATATGCAACTTTTCTGTCAGTACCCAGTTCCAAATAGTGCGTAAATCTTCTAAAACCTGCAAATAATATTTATAAAAGAAAATCTAGAAATATGACACATACACAAGAATGACAGGGCATAGTGACAAAAGTATGATGACCAATTCAAAAGGATATCTACTTTCCTCCAAACCTTTTTGGAGAAACATACATCTGTTGCAAGCATCCAGCTTAGGCCTTTCTAAAACAGAAATCTTTACTGCTTTGCAGCCCAGAGTTCTATCCATTGTCTCAAAAATAATTACTTTTAAAGCCAAAACACTCCTACTCAACCATTATAGAACTACCAAAAGAAACCTTGGCAAATGAACCGAAATACTCCATGATTACACAGGCTGTATTATCAAGTACTATACAAGAGAAGCATACTACAGTTGAACTATCTGTAAAAAAATAAGCATGCATTAATCTGGTTTCCTACCTGATGCAGTGAATAATCATGAGACACATTAAAATGGCCTCTCCTAATAGGACGACTCAGACAGTAGGACTCCGAAGGAGGAATTTTCAGAGCATCTTCTCCAAATATCATTTCTTTATACTTATTCTCTTTAAAGTCATGTCCATTATCATCATCAGATGTGCTTGGCGGAGTATCTTCCTCAGCATCCTTGTATACTGACCTATCTGACCAATTCGAAGGGTTAGGAAAAACAATTATAAGAAATTACTATGTAGGATTTCCTCTTAACAAAGAATTGAACATAACTGGGTAACTGTAATGACAAAAGGCAGCAGCTACAAAATTATCCCTGAAATTAACTCCAGCTGTTTCATATGGGTCAGTCAGGTCATCACTAACTGGGTAGGTTTTAAAACAGAAAGTCATAATAAGAAATCACAATGTCCAAAAATATAAACCATATCAAACGACACTGCTGTAGAACGTCCAAAAGGTAAACTAATCCATAAGTGCAGTACCCTAAACATAAAAATATACAGTTTAACAACTGCAACTCTGAAATGAAAAAGGAAAAAAGGTAAGCACCACTTCAATGAATGAAGTGAAATGATCAGAAAGTACCAATTGATGTGGATGGCTTAATAATTCTCTCTGTCACATCTGTCCAAGTGAATTTAATATCGTCTCTGTTTTGCTGCGAAGAAAAGCCATCAACACGTCCCATCTGAAGAGGTCAACATAACCATATCAGCATGCAGAGATTATGTTGCAACATTTCTTAAACAAACAAAACAAAACTGAACTTTGTGATGCTGAACTATCTAATATAACAAACATCAATTAGTCTTAAATATTTGAAGCTATGTTCCATGATTGGAACAATAAGTTCCACAGACAGAGATAATTTAGAACTATTTTTATGCTTTTAAAAGAGCTGAAAAAACATCGAGTCATCCATGGACATGTTAGAACCTTCAACTGCAACTGCATGCTATGATGCTAATACACTGCATTATAGTTCTCTGTTCAACACTTCATTTTAAGGACATCTCTTCATATCTGACAATCTCATTTATATCTTTGGTTGATAGCTATAAAGGACATTCATGAAAAAGCTCAGATAACTTATGTACACCTGATTGAACAATTGCCACAAAACAATTATATTCTATGCCATTGGTTTTCTGAAGTTGGGCACTCCATGCTAGAATGATGGTTAGCAGCACGTCCGTCAAGTGGTTAAGGTTGAAACAAAAGACTGATGGGAATAGAGAAAAAATGGTAACAGTGGCACAGCCCCAAAATGACAGTTTATGTTCTGTAAATGTGTGTTTCCCTGATAGATAACAAGTGAGAACACATGGATTTGCATTTACATCCAAACCATCTCAAACTGTCATAATGTGCTATACCTCTCTGAGGGACTTATCAAATTGGTTAAAAATGAACAACATATCTGGAGATCTAAGCATCATGTGGCAACTAAGACAATACAGATGAAAGCAGGAGGAAACCACATAAGTTGTGGGAGCCACTGTAAATTCTTGGCAGCTGCAACAAGGTGGTCAATGATAGTAATGGAAGTGGTAGCCAAAGTTGAAAGACTAAAATGTAAGTTGATCCTACCGATAAACATCATCCAGGACTGGTGGTACCATACATATGGTTAACAGAAGAGGACTGCAAAACAGCAGCGAAATGCTGGCAGAAATATCTAGGGTTCAGCCCAAGAAATGGTAAATCAAAGAACATTTTATTTCGACCCAGAAAAATGAGAAAAGGAATGAGATAATTGCTTCGTACTGGATCATTTCTAGATCAATGGTTGGGCTAGTAAGGGCACCCTCAACAACAGAGTCAACTTGCTAGCTCATATGAACTTTAAAAAAAAAGGTAAAAAGGAGTAACCTAACATGCTATATAGAAAAATGTGCAAGCATAGACTATGAATGATGAATCATAGAAAAGTATGTGAGCTTAGCTCTTAATGGAGAGCTACCTTATCATTCTCTCTCCTTATTCAATAAAATATTCTATGAGCTAGCCCTTTTAACACTGTTGGAGCTGCCCAGATACTTGACAATTTCTGAGTGGCATTCGGGGCCCACAAAGGACAGGCATGGTAAATGGCAGGCTGCAAACAGGAGGTAATAATGATGGAATGGGTTGCCAACCTTTTAAAATCAATGGCAAAAAGAAATTAAAATGATTATTTAGTGGATGACCATACAGGGGTTCTCTTTACAAATAAACTAGCATATACTGTATAAACCCTTAAACTTATCTAGGTATTGTTCAACTTATAAGCAACCTAGAACCTACAAGCCCATATGTATGATAAGCAACTCCTGCTGGCATCCGTTGCACCATAAGGGACTGACCTTATCATTATGACATGAGCTGATGGGGCTAAGAACCCAGGTTAACACGGTAAATTTCTTAAATAGACCAAACAGGTCCAAGGCTTCATCCTCCCTGCCCATTTACTGTGTAAATACAATTTTGTAACTCCCTACGAAGACTAAGAACTTCAAGGAGGCAAACCCTACCTCCAGGTGCCATTTTCCACTTACTTCATAACATGAAAGGTAAGTGTGACTGTGTGAGTAACATGAAAAAAGGTACAGGCTTTGGGGGTAAAGGCACATGATCACAAATCACAATGTCCAGTACCTTTGGAGGAAGGGGTTGGTTCGGTGAAGGCATTTCTTCATCATCCAAAAATGGGATTTTCATCAGTGCTGCAATCTGTACGTGTAACAACTCATTAGCTACAGAGCCAAACCTAGTCCAAAAGAAAAAATGTTTGGAATATTTTTCTTTTACAATATCATATGCACTCTCCCGCTCCACATTCTGCGATGAAGTAGCATGGCAGTTGAGCATCTGCATACAAGCATAACTCTTGTTTACTAAAAAAAGATACATTAAAATTGCAATGCATAATACTATGGGAGGGGACCTGCATACAAGCAAACTCGTATTTGCATCACCTGATCGCGCACAGAGAATCTTGGTTCTTCGCCCTCTTGTGGATTGTTGCGTCGGGCAATGCAATGTGGTATATTGAATGGCACATCCTGACTAGCAAATCCCATTCGCACATTTCCAGATCCTATAAAAGATGTGCATTTAAATGACTAGCAACCATGAATTACATTATACAGGGGAAACATACTAATGTATTGCTAGATTTTCCTTTCAGTTGTAAGCAACAACAGCATCCCACTGCCAGCAGGGTAAGTTACATGTCAGGTAACATGCTTCTCTTAAAAGTTCACTCCAGTACTACAACACTCAGGCATTCCTTTTAACCAGGCACGGACAAAACAAGGCAAAATTCCCATTTCAACCATCAAAAGTAACTTAAGGTTCAGAAATTCCGAGCAAATTGGAACCCAGGAAAAAAAAAACTTGACCAAGGACATGGGAGCGCTAGGGTTTCTGCAGGGCCGAACCTGGGTTGATGACGACAAGATTGGAGCCGCGCTCGGCCATGAGCTGTGACGGAACCACCGTCTTGAGGTAGTCCTGCGGGACGGCACATAATCAAATGTCAATCGCCGCTCGCTAGGGTTTCTCCGGGGTTTATGGGGCAGGAGGAACAAACCAGATGCGGTGGGACGGAGGAGGATAAGGAAGGGAGGAGGGACATTGGCGCTTACCATCTCGGCGGCGGCGGCTAGCGCGGCGGAGCGGGCGCCGAGGTTCGAAACGAAAACACTGTTCCTCTTCTTCCACTAGGTGCGGGTTTGCCTGCCCACGTTTTGGGTTGCATTTTCCTTATGAGACCGTGAGGGGATCCTGGGCCACCCGACCCGATGCATCTCAAACGGGTCGACTTTCGATTTGAATCCATATTTGCGGCTGGCCACTGCTAGGACTAGGCAGATTTTCGTCCAAACCGAAAACCAAACCTATAATCACTATGAGTCAGTTTGCTTGTCTGAATTTTGGAGAAATCTGGATGGTTTGGAGAAATACTGAGAAATTTATGAGAGAAAAATATTGTTCCGGATGAAAAAATAAACGGATTAAATCGGGTTTAATGGCACGCGAACGGGGCCTATGTTTAATAAATAGTAAAAACTATGATCCAGAAAAACTAAAACAACCTATAATTTGAAATAAAGGTAATACAACATAATAAGTATATACACGGGGTATCGAAAGAGTACGCATGGGTAGACAGCAATATAAAAACTAGTTAAAACACATCCGTTAAAACCTCTAGAGCACTTTGAATCTTTGACTCACCAATATAAAAGTGTCATTTGAACAAATTAAGCCTAACATTATCTTATGAATTGAAGGGGATATACAAGTCTCATTTGAACAATTAATCCTAACTTTACCTAATCAATTGTAGGGGTTGTGACACGGGGGTTAAATTAGATCATTTAAAGACTAAGGCCCCAAAACCCCTTAAAAACTACACAAGTTCTGTTTAGATGTTCGTTAGGTGAAATCCAATACGTTGAGAACACAAGTTCTGCCATGTGGACCAGCCATTGCTTGGAAGCCTTATTTATCTAGTGGTTCCTCCGATGCTCCACCGTAGAAATCCAATGCGTTGTTCAAAGGACTGGAATCTAATGTGTGTTGTTCGAAGGACTGGAACCTTTCTAGACTACACCTATACTCTCCATGCATTGTTGGATGCATCACCAGCTGAGCACTTCGGTGTGCCTCTCCTATGCTATTGTCGACAGAATATCGTTGACAGTCCTCCGAGGGGTATCCCACGAAGGTAGATTGATCGGCAAAGGAGCACGTGATCAAGAACAAGAAGGCAACAGAGACACGAGTTATACAGGTTCAGGCCGTCAGTATGACGTAATACATTACTTCTGTGGTCTGTTGGTTTGTATTAGCCATCGTATGATATGCCGTGATTTTGGAGGGGTTCCCTGTCTGTCTTATATAGTCCGAGGAGCAGGGTTACAAGTCGGTTAGATCTGAGAGATAACCGGAAAGTAATAACAGATTACAAGAATCATGGAATCATACATATCCTAACAGATCGCGTAGTATCTTCAGGATATCCTTCCTATATCTTACGGGAGGCGCCGAGCAGAATCGTGTCCCGCAAGGCTTCATCTTGTGGGCTGGGCCGCCCCTGGGGGCGCAGCCCATGTGGTCCACCGTGGGTATCCAGGGTCGTATCCCCCGCAACTAGTTCCTGAGCGCCTTGTACCCGTTGTGCAATGTCGTCCTACGCGTGTCCGAGCAAGTGCAAACCAAAGCCGAGCAGTCCGACTCCTGGTCCGACCACCGTGATGGGTTGCCGAGTAGTTATGAGCAGTTGCCGAGCAGTTGTGAGCAGTTGCCGAGCAGCGTGCAATCATCGTCGAGCAGCGTGACCCGCAGCCGAGCAGCACATCCCAAGTACGGCTTGCCATAAGGGTGTAAGGAGCTCTAGTCCAGAATTAAAAATTTCTTCGCAGTAGACCAAGTGTGCCCACTTAGAGTCCAACCACGAGAAGAAAGAGACAACCTTCTTTAGCTTCAAGAGGCACGGAGTCTTCTAGAAAAAACAAGCACAGTCACCGCAAGGTGAAGTGTGCCCACTTAGTCCCCAAGCCTGACAGTAGATGACGTAGTCATGTGGTGCCAGGGTCAGAAATAGAGAAATAATAAAGAACCAGCCGAGCAGGCGGCCAGTCCCCGAGTGTAGCCCAAAAAACGAGATAAAACACATTTACCGCAAGGTGAAGTGTGCCCACTTAGTCCTCGAGCCAACAGTAGATGACGTAGTCATGTGGTACCAGGGTCAGAAACAGAGAAATAATAAAGAGCCAGCCGAGCAGGCGGCTAGTCCCCGAGCTCCAAGCGAAGATATCGGAGAAATCAAAACGTGGAGAAAAAATTGGAGCAACGGCTGTACAGTAACGGTTACTGAGCCTCGATAAATGGCGGTGAAATCGGCGATTATTCAGCGAGTAACAACAGAAGACGGCGATAAATGAGCGTCGTGGGCTACGATTCCGTGAAAGCCCAGGTTACGGCCCATTAAACAGCGTCGGAGAATTCGGAGAGGCGCAAATCGCGGGAACGGTTTCCTAAAAACCCTCGAATGCGAAAAGGTGGGGAAAATTCTTTATAACAGCGCCGCCACCCCCCACGCTCCCACCTTTGCCACTTCGCCATTTCATCTTCCTCCTTAGCCACCATACTTCCAGATTCGCATCCACACATAGTGCCAGCGCCAGCTCCCATCCAGATCCGAGTGATGGCGCCGAGGAAGAGGGCTGTGAACCCTAAGAAAGCGAGCTCAAAGAAGGCGGATGCTGGAGCCAGCCGTGATGAAGAGTGGGTGCCATCGCGAACGGGGGAAGCGGAGCTCGAGAGATTGGTGACGGCGGGCGTGCTCCCTGACCGCATCACCGCCAGATGGCGGCCAGCCATCGGTGAGCCCTTCCCAATGCCCAACACCGATGAAGTTGTAGTCTTTGAAGATTATTTCTGGCGTGGGTTGGGGTTCCCTGTTCACCCTTTCCTGCGAGATCTGCTGGAATTCTGGGCAATCAGCCTATGCAATCTTCACCCCAACACAATATTGCACATCGCGATTTTTATTCATTTCTGTGAAGCATTTTTTGGGGTTCTGCCGCACTTCAACCTATTCAGACACCTGTTCTGGTTGAAGAAGAAAGGCGGCGACGGCTCCAAGGTGGTCGACGGCATATATCTACAGCTCCGGGACGGAATGGCCAGCGAGTATATTAACGTACCGCTGAACACTTCTCTAAAAGGGTGGAATTCCAAATGGTTCTACATGAAACAGAGCCACCCGGCAATCCGCTGTGACGTCCACCATATCTCGGAGAACCAGAGGAGCTGGTCGAAGAAACCGAACAGTGCTGACATGGAACAAGTGAGAGAACTCCTCGACCTAATTAAAGACGTATAAATTAGAGGCGAACTTGTAGCAACAAGCCTCATAGTGCGCCGCGTCCAGCCCTGCAAAGAGAGGGCCCACCCCGGCTTTGACTTCAGAGGTGATGACGACGGAACCCAGGAGAAGACGGAACGGCTGTCAAAGAAAAATGTCTTAGAGCGGGCCGCAAAGCTGTTCACTCCCAATATTTTGTTTGTCTAGCCAAAGCAAACAAAGGCCTTCAACTGCACATATCCGCCTCCTGAGGTAGATCATCTCAATTTTTATTCCTGATACTTTTAATCCTGAAGCACTGCCGAACAAAGATCTGATTCACTTATGCAAAGATCCATTCACAGGAAAGAGCCGTGAACTTCTCCATCGTGCCGAGGGGTGATTGGCCGAGGGGAGTAGATGCCCGGCCACCAGCTCGGCCCGAGGAAGATGCGGCCAGTGCCTCGTCAGAATCCAGAGGCACCGATCCTGGTCGAACGGAGAGCTCGCCCGCTTTGACAGAGAAGATCTAGAGAAAGAGCAGCGGCAGACGAGCTGGCCTAGAAGAAGAGAAAGACGGCAGCTGCCGCTTCCCTCAAACCGGGCGGCATCTCGCTTGGTGGTGACCAGACCACTCGAACGCGGAGGGCCGCGGTGATCGAGTGGTCTGATGACGACGAAGATCCAGTTGCTCCTCCTCCGAGCGTGCAGACGCCTTCACGCAGCACACACATGGAGGAGCAATCAAGGGGAAACAAAGAAATCCTCGAGCGGCTGAGCAGGCGACAGACGCTCCCGAACAGCAGACGGAGATAAATCCGGAGCGATGGGCAGAGGAAAACCCGGAGCAGTAGAGATTTGGAGCAGAGGCTGACTGTGGAGGAGACGAGACCTCCACCCCCGAGCACGGGGGTCGACCCCACAGCCGCGCCTGGGGGCTCGGGTAGGCATCGCCGATTCAAAAAAGTGCACCGACAGACCAAACGGTGAGTATCCTCGTGTTGGAGTTACTTTGCTATCTTATCTTAGTGTTTTTGGCGCTTGACCAAATGATCTGATGCAGCGCTAGGCATACGGAGGGTCCGGACCCGTCCACCCAGACTGAGGAGCATCCTTAGACTGATCCCGAGGCAGAGGTAACACCGGTAGCCCCCATGTCGGGGTCCCCGGGTGCTCGGTAGCCGGTGGAGAAGTCAACAACTGCTGCGGGTGGACTTGGAGACAGCGAGAGGTCGGAGTCAGCGGAGGACGGGTCGGCGACAGCACGCGAACCAACGGCAGGTACTGTCGGGCCCTCGGGAGCTAAAACTAGAGCTGCTGGCATTGCACCGGAGTACGGGCCGACAGAACCAGAGGTGCGTGAGGAGCCAACGACGCCTCCTGAAGCGGCACAGGGCATGGTCGAACCCGTAGTCCAGCCAAAGAGTCCCCCGGTGGTGCCGCCAGTTGATGTGGAAGAGGAGGACGTGGTGGAGGAGATCATTCGTGCTGAGCCTCAAACCCAATCCGTCTAGATCTTCCACAAGCGTGGTGACGAGGTGGTAGTTGTCGAGGAGGAGGACACCCCCAAGGAGATGAGGCGGCTGAAATCCGCCCTCACCGGAGTAGTGAAACAAATCGAGGTTACTGTTGAATCATGAGTATTCATCTTTGACATTTGAGATCAAACTCCATCATTGTCATTGTTAATTTTCAGGGGATAACTCGGACTGCCGAGCACCGACATCAGTTAATAAAGAGGATGGAACCCCTCACCGAAGAGAACCAGAAACTCAAGGAGGCGATGAACCTCTT